CTTTAAGACCCGAATCTGGGTCCCCAAACTTGGCGGCATGCGAGATGTTGTTTTAGCAGAAGCACATAAGTCGCGATTATCAATACACACAGGGAGTACCAAAATGTACCATGATCTTCGTTTAGATTACTGGTGGCCTGGGATGAAGACTGATATTGGACGTTATGTTGAGAAATGTACCACATGTTTACAAGTAAAGGCTGAACACCAGAAACCATATGGTAGTTTACAGCCTTTTGAGGTACCGATGTGGAAATTGGAGGAATTAACGATGGATCTGGTTACTAAACTACCGAAGACCCAACGTCAAAACGATAGTATTTGGGTTATAGTTGATCGATTGACCAAATCTGCATTGTTCTTACCTGTCCGAGAGTCTTACTCTATGGATCGATGGGCGCGGTTGTACATTGATGAAGTTGTCTCGCGACACGGTGTACCAGTGAAGATTATCTCTRATCGCGACTCTCKATTCAYYTCTAATTTTTGGACTAGATTTCAACGAGAGTTGGGAACACGTCATGCATTTAGTACGACCTATCATCCTCAGACCGATGGTCAATCAGAACAAACCATTCAGACTCTTGAAGATATGCTACGCGCATGTGTCTTAGAATTTGGTGGTAGCTGGGATACTCACCTATCCTTGGTTGAGTTTTCTTACAACAATAGTTACCACTCAACAATTGGAATGGCTCCTTATGAGGCTTTATACGGACGTAAGTGTCGTACACCCTTGTGTTGGCAAGAGACGAGAGAGAGTTTTAGTTGGTCCCGAACTCATTCAGATAACTCATGACAAGATTCAGATTATTCGCGAAAGAATGAAAGCTGCCCAAGATCGTCAAAAGTCTTATGCGGATCGTCGCAAAAGGCCAATCGAGTTCTCGATGGGTGATATGGTAATGGTGAAAGTTTCTCCTCGGCGAGGCGTGCTTCGATTCCGAAAACAAGGTAAGTTAAGTCCACAATTTATTGGCCCGTTCAAAGTATTGGAGCGTAACGGAAAACAGGCTTATCGACTAGAGTTACCGGAGGAACTTACGGGGATACACAATGTGTTTCATGTCAGGTACTTACGTAAATGCTTGGGTAAACATGAAGAGACGGTGCCCTTAGCCGAAGTCAAAGTAGATGGGAAATTAAGATACATTGAAGAACTAGAATCAATTCTGAACAAGAGAAAATTGAAACTACGTAATAAGGAAGTAGACTTGGTATTGATCAAGTGGAAACACCATCGGGGACCAAATTGGACGTGGGAGTGTAAAGATGAGATGAGGCGAAATACCCTTCTTTATTTTCACAACAGTGATTTCGGGGACGAAATCCTCAAAAGGAGCGTAAAGATGAGATGAGGCGTAAAGATGGAGTCACACGATCTTGATTTGTCTTTGATTCTGTCTCGTGAGTTGATTCCTTATTACTAACTCGGTACATCAGTTTGCTTTCTGGATCCGGACTCGTTGTTTTGTTCCTTGAATTGTACGCCATAGTACGGGTACTACTTCGTGTACTACGCCAGAAGTTTATGGCGAAGTCAAGATCCCGGGTTGGATGGTGACACTTTCTATGGTTGTGAATACTCATTGCTCGAAGAGGAGGAAGAGCAATGAGTAGGGAACCTTGGCACATACCCGGTAGAGGAAGGCGGGCAGTGCGAGGTTTCCCGTAATGTACGGTTTTGATTCGGACTTTGGCATGAGCCCGGGAGGTGAAAGACGGGGTGATGCACTGTCCTCGTTATGTTTACCGATTCGATCTCTTGGTTCTTGATATTTATTGGTATTCTAACGTTGCTGAATATATTTGGTCGTTGATCCTGTCTCCTTGTTGTATTGAGCATCAATGGTATGGTATATTATGGTGATTTGAATATGGAATCCTATTATCTTAGCATCCGGTACGTAATTGTTCACTCGATTTCTTGTAAGTCTCGGTTTGCATCTGGATGATGTCTTGAACTCTTTTATTGATAAGAGTTTATTTTGTATGTTTATAAACATGTGCGATATTGATATGTAATACTTAACTATTTAACTCACTAAGCGTTGGCTTACCATTTAAGTGGCAACCTCTCTCAGGAAAGAAGAAGGATAAAAAGAAAGAACCCGTTGTGTGACTCGAAGATTTATCGGGGAACTTGAAGATTTCGATCTTGCTTTTGGGTAAATAGTAGCTTATTACCGTATCTCATAGTTGTAGTATGTGTAGCTTATATATAGTCTTGTCTTGAAATAGCGGAAGCTGCTTTGAGAAAAGCTGAAGGAAAGAGACAAACAATTGAGGCAAATCTAGCTCTCCGACGGGCTAGGACACGAGTAGAGGCTATCAATGCGATTTCATAACCAGTCAATTTATAGTAAGAGGAAAATCCGTCGATTTCAAAAATCGTGAGGGTTCAAGTCCGATCGAACACTACTTGAAAACGGCTCTTCTGCTCAGAAACGAAATGTTCCAAATGTTCCTGGAAATTCTTGCTCCCAGTGGACCATTTGTATCTATATGCATCAGGATCCCGATTCATGGATCTCTCGGTTCGAGAAAAAAAAATTAAGTAAAAACTCCGTTATATCCGGTTTGGAATTATGTTTCGGGTGGTTTTATCACGAAAATAGAACGGATATTTCGAACTTTTTTTTTTTTGAAAATTAATTTCCCATATTTTGAGGTTAATTAATGTTATGCCCAGATCTGTGTGTTTCAAAGGGTTGGTCCATTTTCATCGCCTCTGGATCAATTCATGGCCTTTGGTCTATTTTCATGGCCTCTGGTCCTTCATGGCCTGTGGTCCTTCATGGCTTGTGGTCCTTCATGGCCTCTGGACCCTCATCGCCTCAGGACCAATTTATCGCCTCTGGTCTTCTTCTAGACTTAGTCATTTCAGCAGCCACTGGTTCATCGCCTGCCTCTGGACCAATTCATCGCCTCTGGTCTTCCTCCAGACTTAGTCATTTCAGCAACATTTTCAGATTTTCCATCCTTGGCCCCGATTGCTTTGACAAAACTTTTAAAATAATTAGGATCAATTTTGGTCCCAATAATCAATAAATTATATTTTATTGGAGATTCTATAAAATTGGTAATTTGGGGATTGCTCAAGCGAGATGTTTCAGTTATGGTTTGTTTATTTTGAATTTGTTAATTTGGTTCGCACTTTTGTTCGGTTTTGGTGCCTTCCAATAACACCGTTAAAAATCGTTAAGTGAAAGTAATTTTGATATTTTTTCTGAGAAGTATGAATAATTATGATTTAAGCTAATGACAACAAGTCACTTGTCTCAACCTCCTCCCTATCCTTTCTGGTACCCTATTACTCTGATAGCAACGCTGGTGGTCACCTTTTCCAGTATTAACAAAGTTCTTGGTTTAATAGCTTATGGTAGGGCTAACATGGCTATAAAAGAAAATATGTGCAAAGGACAATTGTTGTGCTTTATATGTTCACAATCAGCATGGGGGTAAAGCATGTGAACTGCTACATTCTTATATGTACTTAAATTTACAATCCACAACTAACAAAGTTGAATGACACCAAACAATATAGAAGGATCAATTTTGAGAAGAATAAGAGGACAAGCAGTGGCAAATTCAAAAACCGGAAGTTGAAAACTGGAACAAGCCTTTTCCACCTAGCGATGTATCATCTTTTCAGTGTGCAGGAGCATAAGTCAATAGGTCATGATATTAATTTTTTAGGAACATAGGTCAAGTTCTTCTTTTTAGTGTGGAGGCGTAGGAGGAAGCGATGGGATTGTTTGATATATCTCTGCCGTCAAGACGAAGATGTAGGCAAGAAGCAATATTGTGGTTGTTGCCTATTGGAAATGGGAGAACAAAGAAGGTAGTTGGGATAATGGTGTTGTGTGTTGGTGGTGGTCAACTTCTAAGTTATCATTTTATTTGTATTTCCAAATAAGAAAATGAGAGAGAAAATAAAAGAAAAAGACAATTTTAACTCGTTTAACGAATTTTTTAAGGATGTTTACATGAGGGACCAAAACCAAGTAAAAGTGCAAACCACAATGAAATTTTTGTAATAAAAAATTGTAAGGAGAAAAATCGAGTGAATTACATATTTTAAGTGGTTAGGTCCCTAAAATGAAATACTTACAAAAAAGGCCACGTGGTTTGCATTTTTAACGCTCTGGTCCTAAACCTTAGCGGAGCTAAAAAAATTTGTTAACTCAGTTAGTGTGGAGGCATTTGGTTATTTTGCCCTCCTTCCTCAATCCAAGCAACACTCAAGAACCCTAACTAAATCCACATAAACATCAACCATGAACATAAAAAACACAAGAAAAAATCGTACAAATCTATTTGAAAATGTGATACAAAACCAATATAAATTAAAAACCCTGTGTCTAAATCATAACAATAAAAAAAAACCCTATAACTATTTGTAAATCAGAAACAAGAAACCCATGTCATTAGGTCTGATGATTTGCTTAGTTGCATCACTGTCACAACCATTTTTCGAATTGTCTGACATCATCCTTACTTCCTATATTAGAAACCATGGATGGAGATAGTTTAGTCTCATTTTTTTTTTTTTGCTATAAGCACCATGGTGAGCTTTTTTGTCTATTTACGAAGGTTGTTTGTTAGATTCTCCATTCTTGTCTGGTGATCGAGACAACCAATATGGATGAGACATTGAGTGGAAGAATCCATCCTTCGAGTAACATGATACTACACATGTTTCGCATCTACTTTGAATCTAATCCTATTGCCCACAATAGATATTCAAGAATAGATTACTAATTACGGTACAAATTCACATATAAGGCCTCAGTAAAACCCACTTCCCTTTTCACAAAAAGAAACAATGATTAAAAACTATGAAACAAGTCTGTGACAGTTCAAAACTGGAATTGGCACAATTACGATTATTAAAAGTGGACCATCATCCACTGGGTGTGTTCATTAAAGATCTCTAAATTTTTTGGGGATGAACACCAATCATATTAACAAACGATTATTGTGTGAATTGCCCAAAATAGAGAAACTCTAACACAATCATCAAATACACTCAATATGAAACACCAATAGCCGCTACGAGAACCAAAATAGTCAACAATGGAACACCTTTGGGCAGTATCGAAAATCCACCTCCTGCTACTCCCACTCTTCCAGTGCAGTGGAGGACATATGGTCTCATGAGATGAACCCTTTCGGAACTCGAGCAACGAGGTTTTGTCTTTGAGAGGTTCGTGACTTGCAATCAAAAGAAAGAGCCAAGAAGGATTAGCTAAGAGAAAAAGAATCGAAAGAAAGGTCCAACACAACACGTTAAGTTGATTCTTCAATATTAGGAGCTCTACTAGCATATGTTCGACCCCCACTACGTACACATTTATGAATCACTGAACTCCCTTAAAAAGGGTGTGGTTGCACCATTTCAACATTGGTTGAGTATGCCAGAAGTGAGCATTCTAATTGATTCAAGGTACAACATGATACTACACATTTTTAGCGGAGGCGGACCCATAAATATTTCATAGTGGCGACACAAAATAATTTCATAGTGGCGACACAAAATAATTTTCGTAATTTGAAATTAAATAAAAGTTGATTATAGTTAAGAAATAAATCACTAAAAAACCAATCAAACTAGGTTGGACTAGCTAATTCATTGATAGCTATGGACTGGCTTGGAAAGATACTTAGGTGCCGTTTGGTAATTGTTGAATGGTTTGATGCATAATGGTTAAATGATTACAATGCTTAAGAGGCTCTGTATGGTATAGTTTAGAATGAAATATGATTATTTGGTAACTGTTCTGAATAAGCAGTCTGAAGGACAACAAATTACCATTTTAACCATGTGTATTATTGTTTGATATTTCTCAATTTGCCTTCCACCAATCTAAACATGATGTCTCCCCACAAACCACAAAAATTGATCGTAAATGAACCCTAAAAGTTCAACACGACATGATGTTTACATCACAACTTCAAATTCAATTGAAACTCTATAAATCTTGATATACCTAAAAACCTAATTAATCAAAGCTCCAAGTAGAAGAATAGAAAACTTTTTGTAGAAAATCTAATGAATCAAACCTAATGGACAACCTTTTGCTCTAGGGATTTAAGACTAAGCACTAACAACCAAAAACCAAATATGATGTACAAGTACCAAAGCAACTTGTTTTGTGTAACAAAGCATTCAACCATTGAATAACACAAGAAAATTTTGTGTAACAAATTAAGACAACCCTCTGCAAAAGGCGAGGAAACTAGCATAGCAACGGTGAGTCCGATTTGGATTTTGATTCGTTTGAGTTTGAAGGCTTTTGGAGTGAGGGACAAGGGCCAAAGAAGGAACCAACAAAAAACCGTGGAAGGAATCGCCAGAGAACCATGGAAGAAAGCATGGGAAGAGGGAAGAGAAAGTTTGAAAAGGCAAATGTGGAATAATGAGCCTCTTAATGCTTTTGCTTATCTCTGTATACAAAATGGTTAAAGAGGATTTTGGAACCATTAAGAACCTTTAAATTTTCTGCCAAATAAGACTCATATCTGCACAATTCAAAGGTTGCCTCTTAATCACATCATTAAGATGCAAACAAACATCCCTTTATTTAATTATAAAAAAACATTCTTACCAATGGTCTAAACATTTTTTTTTGTTTTATTTAACCAAAAAAGTTGCACATATCTAATTAATAAAATGACATATTTGAATATCATAATTTTTTTATATTACATAGAGACGGTGAAGTGGTGACATGTGCCACGTATGCACCACTATATAGGTACACCCATAGTCCTTAGTATGCGATTATGTACAACATACTTACCCTCATATAGACATTGAGACACAACGACTGCCGTCATCTTAACATATGGGTTTTACATCCGAGTACGCTAATAGTCATCGTTACTTAATGATGATTTTTACAATTAGGTATATTAATTGTTTTAATAGTTTATTTGTATTTTAATACAAGAAGATATCGATAGAATTTGTCTTTATTTTTATCTTGCTCTATTTATGTAAAACAAAAAGATCGAGATATGAAATTAATATGATTTTTTGACGTGACATAACAAACAAAATTCAAAAGTGACGAGAAAACAAATATAAAAAAAGAACATATATAGATCCTACGACAGATCAAAACCTTTACAGCTGATTATCAAAAAAAACCTATCTTGATTAGTGTATAGTCTCCTCCACCTCCACCTCCACCTCTCACCGCCTTCAATGGCGATGCCCTTCCATGTAAATATTCTTGAGAAATGCCATGTATCTCCGCCACCGGATTCCATTATACCTCCAATCTCACTTCCCCTAACCTTCTTCGACATTCCATGGCTTCTCCACCCCTCAAATCAAACCCTCTTCTTCTTCCCTAAACCACCTGCCAAATCCTCCACCACCACTGTAATCTCCCTCCTCAAACAAGCGCTCTCTCTCACCCTCCACCATTTCCACCCTCTCGCCGGAAACCTCTCAGCTCCACCACCTCCGGCCGAACCCCACATAGTTTACAACAAAGGTGACTCCGTCTCACTCACCATAGCCGAGTCAAATGCCAACATCAGCCATCTTTCCGGCAACCACCCACGAAGCATCACCATGCTTTACTCACTTCTACCAAAACTCCCTTTCCCATCCAAGTCACGTGACACCCACGTGGTCCTGGTTCTCCCTCTTCTTGCCATCCAGATTACTGTCTTTCGCGATCTGGGATTTTCCGTCGGAGTCACGGCCCAACATGCAGCAGCCGATGAAAGAACACTGGACCAGTTCATCAAGTGTTGGGCTTCTGTCTGCAAATCTTTGTTGAAAAAGGACTCTTTCTTTGCCTTCAAACCACAACCTTTCTTCGATCGGACCATAATTTTGGACCCCAATTCGCATAAAACGACGTTCTTGAAACAATGGTGGCACCGACGACTCATGAATTCTCCGAAAGATTCCCATCAAGAAATTATTGGTCATAACATCGTTCAAGCCACCTTCATCTTGAGTTCATCAGACATTAACATGATCAAACATCACATTCTCGCAAAATGCAAGACGATAAAAGAGGATCCACCGGTACATTTATCACCCTACGTAAGTGCATGTTCTTTTATATGGGTCTGTTTACTAAAATCTGAAGAAGAAACCTACGATTCAAAGGGTACAACGACTCCTCTCTATATAGGGTTCAACGCAGGTGGGATTACTCGTTTAGGGTATGAAATACCCTCAAGTTACTTCGGGAATTGCATAGCTTTTGGGAGATGTAAGGCACTGGGGAGTCAATTGTTGGGTGAAGATGGGGTTGTTTTTGCAGCCAAATCGATCGGAAAAGAGATTAAGAGGCTGGATAAGGACGTTTTAGAGGGTGCAGAAAGGTGGATTTGTGAATGGGATGAATTGAACATTAGGGTTCTTGGTTCACCAAAAGTTGATTCATATGCGATGGATTTTGGGTGGGGGAAAGTTGATAAGGTTGAGAAGTTATCAAGCGATGATCACCATGGGAGGGTTAATCATGTAATTTCACTGACTGGAAGTAGGGATCTGAAAGATGGAATGGAGATAGGAGTAGTTCTTTCTAGGGCTACAATGAATGCATTCACTCGTCTCTTCAGTGGTGGTCTATTAGAACTTGCAATTTCATGATGACTGGAATTGGGATCCAAGAAAGATGATCAGTACAATAAACTATATTGGGATTAGCACGTCTAAGTGTTGCGTTTGGTGTGCGAATGGTATGCGTTTGGTGTGCGAATGGTAAAGTGTTGCGTTTGGTGTGCGAATGGTACTGAATAGATTGGACAAGATTAGACAGACGAGAATGAAGTAGGGAGGTTAGAGAATTATGGAAAGTGTTTAAGAGCTTTAATTTGATATATGTATATATATGGGTACGTATTTTACTGATTTAAATATTGTCTATCTTCTGGTTTTTGTTTCATTTATTTTGGTGGGATAAAAAAATACAATTTTATCATATCCAGTCATGTTTTGTCTAAGGGGCTACATACTCAAATGTTTACCCAGTAAGCATTTACCGATAAAAGTCAACACAATAATTTATTTTTCTGCGTAAGATTATAGTGCATTAAAATGATATAGTATATAACAATTTAGGTAAGCACTTACCCGAGTAAGAGTCGTCACTCTCACTTACTGGATAAGACTCTCCATCCTTTCACCATTTTTACCGGGTAAGACTCCCCATCCTTTTACCGCTCTAAGTGGGTAAGATTTTAAACCCTTACCATGTTCATCTGGTAAAGAAAATTACCCGGTAAGCACTTACTGAATAAACGTTTAATAAACGACCCCTAAATTTAATGTCACAACAAACATGAAACTATAAGCTTTTATATATTATGTATTGTTAATGTACCAAACGCATCCATAAGATAAAAATGATTATGCATATATATGATAATGATACAAATAAGTTAATGCATACTAACAACATATATGTTCACATGTTTGCATTAATTTAAAGAACAATGTTAAAATATGTGTAACCTTCATATCATTTTTTAAGGGAGTCTTTGCAGAAAGGGGAGGTTTCAAAAAAAAAAAAAAAAAAATATATATATATATATATATATATATGAGAAATGGTTCAATTCTAGTCGATGTAAGACTTTAATAAATAATATCTTAAGAAAAAATAAATTGAAAAAATCATTATTATAATAAGTAAAAATCGAAAATACAATGTTATGATAACGAAAAATTATAAAGTAATTTGTTATTTCAACCCTAATTATAAAAAAGATGATAGCCTTATTTCCATATTTCAAAATTTTCAATATTAATTATAATCTCTTAATGATCTTCAAACAAATATTTTTGATATGGACAAAAAAATATTACAATTTCTATTTTGGTCCACACAAGTGTTATCATCCCAACTCAACTCAAGGACCTGGTAAAAAAAACTAGGAAGGTATCACTTATGGACCGGGTAAAACGACGTCACCACGTGGATTCCATGCGAAACACATTCCACATGGCGACAAAAGTTTCATGTAATTGATGGATCAAACTCTATCCACCATTATCAAACAATTCAGTCTATTATCACCTCTTGTAACATTAATATTTATTTCTTATTAAATATATCTATATTATATTGTAAAGTATTTGATAAAAAAATTTAAAAATATCTTTTTATGTATAAAATACTGTTTATTAATGTATATTACTTAAAATTCAAGATTATAAGTAAATTGTGTATAAGTACAACTTATTAAAGCTCTATGTTTGAATTCGTGTGACTAACTACAGATAAACATAATCAAATATAGAATAAACATCTCAATTTAAAATATAAAAAGTCTAAAATATAATTAGGATAATTATTGAGTTCTAACAGAATAGTTAATTATTATCTTTATAAAAAAAATATAAACCTAAATTAAGTTAATTCGTTACATTAAATTAAATTATAATAAAAAATTTGAATTAAAAAAAACAAAAAAGAACTTTTAATTAGATAATTTGATACTAATATTGATATATTTTTTGCAAATTTTATATTATATTTTCAAATTTATATTTTATTCAAAAATAAAAATATTTTAGTTTTTTCTCAAAACCACATAAAATTGTATTATATCGACATGGATAAAAAATAAAACGAAACATTGAAATGAAAATATGTTTCGATGTATTCCACGAGTACCTTTCTAGTAAATATAAAAAAATAATCATAACAAAATCTTTCTTTTCTTAATTTTAATATTAATTATATTATTAAAATATTATATAAGTTTATATTATAAGAAACTGTTGTTTTTTATGTAAAATAATTCATTGAATTACTTTTGCATAAAACCGGGTCCTAACCGTGCTTAAAAAACATGCTCTTTTACTTAAAAAAAAAGATTGGAACGACCTTCGACATTTCTTAACCAAAAATTTAGGATCAAATCCGTAACCGTAATCATAAGTGGGTTTTTCGGAGTCTTTTTTACAAGATAAAAAGATTTAAATGAATAATATTTAGTAACACCTTGAATTTTCATTTAAATATAAATTAAGTTATCGTACTTCATGCATATAGGAGAACGAAACAACTACTTGTTGATTTTCATTTTACGACCGAATAAAAACTAGTTAAATTATAACATTATAAACTAGTTGACATTTTCGTCTTTTATCTTTTTGTTTTGAATATTTTTCGTATCTTTAATTTATTTATTTTTTTTATTTTTGTTGTTTTGAATATTTTTCATACTATTTACGCTTCTTTCACTACCAAATGTAGGACTTTTTTCGGCAGTCAAAAACACAGGAAATCCTCCAGAAAACAACGTTTTCGGTGGATATCCGGCGGATTTGGTCTCTAGAAAAAGTGACGTCGCTGATTTTTCCAGCAGATTTACTGACGGATTCTTGGTTTTCTGGCAGATTACGTCGCTGGAAATACGTCACTTCCATTTTTGAATTTATTTAAATAATCTTAATTAAATTAAGGAATTTGTTAAGATTTCTGGGGAAAAATTCCACTGGTAAATTTTAAATATTCTTTTAAAATCATTTTCTTTCTCAATTTAAATGCCGGCGGAATAATCCGCCTGTAGTTTAATCCACCGGAAATTAAATTTTATTTTTAATATTTTCCGACGGATTACATCCGCAGGTAATCCGTCGAAAAATCACCCGGTTTCAAAAAATGGATTTCCTGTTTTTATTAAAATTCTGTAAATATGAATAAAAAAATGTTAAAAACATGAAATGCTTCTAAATATTATACATTCAATTAATATCCAATACAATTGTCTCGACTACAATAGCACGTAATTGTTCTAAAGAAAAACTAAATTGTTCCAATACTAGTTGTCCCAATATTGATTGTTACAAAACAAACAATATTCATTACCATGGAGGCGGTTGCGGCGGAGACTGCTGAGATTGACTGAGCAGCTTGACCAAAGCAACCATCTCTTCGTACTGTTTATCCCGTCTCTCATCCGTCTGCCGATGCCCGTCCTCCTCCGCCCATTGATGCCCCTCCTCCGCCCGCTAGCACTCGTTTTCTTCCTGTAGATCTCTAAGTTTGATCCTTAAGGCGTGAATTTCCTATGATATAAAAAAGACGTTAGAATATTTAATATGAATTCTAAATGAAATAGATGAACATCATCAAAGGAAACGAGGTACACATCGGGCCATTAGAAGACAACGGACCTCCCTGTGTGGATCTCCCGGTCAAGACCCAATTGGGAACTTGGTTGTATCCAAACCCAAACAGATAGAGTTTCTTGCTTCCCCCAACCTACGCGCTCCCACAATTCTATATCATGGGATAGGTGGAGGGATCATCGTAACTTTGGGTGAGACTCAATGAATAGTCAACCTTTGGTTCAAAAAATACTACAAGTCAATTTCGACAGCATAGTAACTGTAAATGAAACGTTTCCAACCAAAATAATCCTAACGTTGCCCAACAAATGGTAACCCAAACTAAATAAAAATACATACAAAATTTCTAACTTAAACAATCCTGATGTTTGCCCCAATAAATGACAACCCAAACTACATATATATATATATATACACACACACACACTATGATTTTAACTTAAATATTTCAAACGTTTTCCCAACAATTAATGGCAACCTAAACTAGATAGATAGTTACCTAATTATAAACATTAAAGTAGATAGATATTTACCACGACCTGGCTACACATGTGTGTAATTGAACATTTCCAGAACGGTTGATGGCACGCCGTCTTTTCATTGTGTCTACAAAGGTCAAATAATGCTAACATGTGTAATTTTAACATATTAAAACTCAAGCTAATGAGTTTTTAAGTCCTACCAAGCAAGCAACGTGCTCAGAAAATGAGAATGATCCACCGTTGTGGAGTTTAACTTGGCAATCATGGTTCTTGTGTGCCACATTGGAAACAACCTTCCAACGATCATTGTTCCAAAAAGTCAACCATCTCGTTCCACAAATCTGAAGAGATCCAATGCGGGTGGAGTCCTTCAACACATTCATATCCTGGTCTAGGTCTCTTTCATCGTAATTGGATACATATGTTTTGCTTTCTCTGTAGCTTTCTTCCTTACGACATTCAAATTGTCATTGTATGGTTTTGCCGACATTCTCTCCCACATCTCCTAAACCTTGCCGTCAAAAGCGACATCCTAAGTGTAAAAACCCTGTATGTAAAAGTTTTGCCGATTCTTAAGTTCAAAATGACACTAGCAAAAATATAACAAGTTAAATAATGAATTGAATTAGCATCGATACAAAACCTGGAACCGCTCCCACATCCGGCGTTTCACATCCTTAGGTATTTTTTCCCAAGTGACCTATGGCCCTTCAAGCAGCTCTCGGTTTTTTCTCGGTGATCCGGCGGATGACTATGGTGTTATTAAAGCTATATAATGAATTGAAGTAGTATCAATACAAAGAACAATTAATTTGATCAATCAAAAGATAGAAATATATTTACTTTTTTTCGTGGATGCTATTAACCGTCCTTTGTGCGAGAAGCAGCTCCGGAGCAGCGCTACCACGACCAGGATCTAGCTCTTCCGGGTGTGCCTAGGAGTACTACCATAGCGCGGCTAAGAGTACTACCACTACTTCGACCGGTAATTTGAGTACGTGGCATTGCGATCTTTTTACAAAACAACATTAAAAATATATAACAATGGTTTAAGTAACACAATGTTAG